GCACAGTTGGAAAGACAAAATCCGGAACCAAAACTCCGGAAAATCCAACCAGCGGAAAATCCACCCAGCGCACGAGGTTCTCACCCCCAGGCGGGTGACGCCCACATCCCCACTTGCAGCCCAGACCACTGTGTCCAACTACACTCCTGTCTCCCTGACGTTGCAAGGTGCCTAGACACCCCCGTGGGAGTCCTGAGACGGCTCCTGGCTCTGCCCCAGGGCCCTGGCACTGGTCCCACACAGGTGCACCCCTCACAAACGGAAACACCCCCCCCTGCCCCCGTGACCAAGCTGAGCCCTCACCCATGAAGTGCCCCCGCCCTGCCGTATGGCAGCCCCTCTCAGACGCAGGGCGAGGCCGTCAGTGGCTTCTCCAGCCGGCCGGCTGCTCCCTGCCACACGACCTCCGTCATTTTCCCAAAACACATATCTGACCATTGGGCCTCCAGCCCAACAGGCCCGGCCGGCGTGGCTCGGTGGTTGAGCATCGACCTATGAACCAGGAGGTCAGGGCACATGCCCGGGTTGAGGTCCCCAGTGTGGGACGTGCAGGAGGCAGACGATCCATGATTCTCTCTCCTCATGGATGTTTCTCTCTTTCTCCCTCTCCCTGCCTCTCTGAAATCAATAAAAATATTAAAAAAGAAACACAAAAACTCCTGTCCCAGGTGTCTCAGGTGTGGGTACGCTGGGTCTCCCTCTGCCCCATCACTCCTGACGCCCGCACCTCGGCCAAGCCCCAGGCGGTTGGGACCTTCTCAAAGACCAGTTAGTATCAGACCTGGCTTTTTGACGGCGCGGCACACCGTGAGGAACGGGCATTCCCAAATCACCCCCTTCGTGCGGGCGTGAATCACCGCACACGAGTGTCTGCAATCGCCATCTGCAGTAACGGCAGATGTCCCCCGTCCTGTGAGGTCCCCGAGAGCTTTCACCTCCGCTGTTTCCAGCGAGACTGACTCCTCACCAGCCATCAGGTGAGAGCTGGCACCCCAGCTGCAGGCCATCTCCCCGGCCCCAGCACCCCGACCTGGGGCCTGACCCTGGAGCCTGGAGGCAAGCCTCAGGGGTGGCCTTTCCACGTGGTTTAGGCGACAAGGAACTGCCCTGTATTCAGGACAGAGCTGCTGCCCACAGTGCTAACTGACAGCCTCCTGTTCTCTCTTCCTCGGAACCATCCACAGCCCCTAAGTCCGGGCTCAGCGGGCCGGCCAGGCGCCGCGCGGGAGGAGGTCCAGGCCCAGGCCCGGGCCCGGGTCTGTAAGCCCAAGGATGTGATGGTCCAGGTCCTTGGAAAGAGCTGGCGACGGGAAACCCATGTAATTCACGGTGTGTGGCCAAGTGCGTAGCCGGAGCGCTGAGGGATTTAAAGGGCGCATTCCGTTCCCCAGAAACGCCTGACCCGCGCTCACGTGCCTGCCAGGCGGGCGCTGGGAGCAGACCCCGCTGGGCAGGCCCAGCAGAACCCCGGCTGGGGAACCCTTC